TCTGCAGCTGCTAGGCAGTTGCTGGTAGCTGCTGGGCACCAAAAAGTCTGTCCCGACCAGGCCCCTCCCCTGCCCCACAGCCCCCGGCCTCCAAAACCCACTGGGACCATTCCTCGGACGGGCTATGTGCCCAGCCCCTGGCCCCAGGACTTTGCTCACCTCCCTGGACCCCAGAGCTCCTGGTGGCGCCATAGGTGACCAGTGACCCCCACACACCCAGCTTTCCTGTCCCACCCCAAGTCTACCCCCGATCTTGGTGTGAGTGCAATATTTCATTCCTGGTGGTCACGTGGAGACGGGGCTGGCCGAGGTCCCCCAGCTGGGGCGTCCGGGAGGCAAGCACGATGTGGAGTCCCGGGCGAAGGCGCCAGCCCGCACCCAGTTCCCCCGGGCTTCCCTGCCGCCCGGCTTCCCTGCCTCCCGGCTTCCCTGCCACCCGGCTCTTCTCGGCTCCTTCCCCCGCGTGCGTGCGAATGGCATGGCCTCCCCTCTGCCCATGGTCAATGTGGCAAAAGCACGATCCTGTACATCTGTAAACTAAGAGGGTGGTTGGATTTTTTTCAACGTAAACACTAAAAAGAAAACAAAACAAACACAAAGGTTTTATGAACAGCAAACTATGTAAAGGCATTTTAGTATTAAATTTTTTATTGATAACTTGCTTAAGAATAAATATATGAACTATTGTACAGTTTTCCATAGTCCGGAATCATGGCCGCGCCCTGTCCCCAGCACATGGCCCTCCGACGCTACAGGAGGGCAGCTGGGCTGCCTCCTTAGCCAGGCTGCACGCTCGGGGCGGCAGTCACCGCCAGGAGAGGGCCATGGGACGGGACCGGAGAGGCTTGGGTGGCCACAGGCTTGGGTGGGTCCCTCAGGCAGGCTTCCTGGAGGAGCCCACGGCAGGGCAGGCAGGGTGGCTTGGAGGGAGAGCTGATGCTGGAGCTGCAACCCCCGCAGGACAGGATCCCTTTCCGGCCCCCGAGGCTCAGGTCTCACCCAGACTTGAGCTGTTCTGGTCCCTGCGGCCAGGTACTGGCCAGAGGGAAGGAAGGCGGGGTCCCCTATGGAGCACAAGGCTCAGGGGAAGGGTGGTCCAAAGCCCCCAGGAGTCATGCTCCCCCAGCCCCTGCCTCCCGAGAGGTGCCACTGACATTCGGCACACACGTCCGGACTCCTGCTGCCCAGCTGCGGGCCCAGAACAGGCCGAGGGCAGGGCGGGCTGTGTCCAGAGCCCGAGAGCCCCGCCCCTGAAGCTGCAGGCCTGGCAGGGGCGAGGGCAGCCTTCATTTTCCCTCTTCCTCTGAGGAGGGTCCCCAGTGAAGGACCCCAGGCCGAGCATATGTTGGGGGTAAGCTCAGCTGGGAAGGAGGCCACAGCCCAGCCCCGTGTCGGGCTGCAGAGTCTCGTCGGTACGTGGCACATGCGCGACACCCTGCCTGGTCCCGTTTCCTCTGTGAAAGGCCAGCAGAGGAGGAGTGTTACAGGAGGGGAGAGGGAGGGAGAGTCGGATGGAGGGCGGGGAGAGTGAGCAGGCTGGGGTGGGGAAGCAGATGGACCCCACACAGCCCACGGGGCAGCCCAGGCCCGGGGCCAGAACTAAGACAGGCTCTCAGGGCAGAGGCGGGCACAGAGAGGGCCTTGCTGCAGGGGTGTCCAGGGACGGGGTTAGAGGGGCAGGAGGCAGGTGACCAGGCACAGCTGAGGGCACTGCAGCAGTCAGATGACCCCTGACCCCAAGGGGCTGAGGAGTGGTGGTTCAGGGGGGCACAGGCCCGCCCCACAGGGACCCCATGCCCAATCTGGCCCATGTCCCCAAGGCCTCCTGGTTCCCCTGCAGGGGCCTCTGCCCCCGCCCCCCCACCCCAGTCCTCCACCTTCCCTTTGGCAGGTGGGTGGTCCCTGTCTCCCAGAACCTCTGCTCCCAGAACAGGGCCTGGCCAGGGCAGCCGGCAGAGGGCTGGGCAGGCGGCTGCGGAGCCCCACGGGTTAGACACAACTGCATGGATCAAGACAGACTGGCCGCGGCGTGAGACAGGAGTGAGATCGATGATGGCGCTGTGCGGGGTCAATAAAAGTGACGGTCTACCGGGGGTGACAGCCGGCTGTCACAATTCGCTTTTAATACCACAAGCCAGTGGGGACGGGGGGCTTCCACTGTCCGGCCCAGGCGAGGTCGCTGGGCTGAGGGTGGGACTTGGGCCCTGCGGGGCAGGGAGGGCTGCACTGCCCTACCAGCTGGGGCAACCCATGCAATGCCACCTCCTAAGTGCAGCTGCAGGAGCCCCAGGGGTGGGGACAGGCAGGCCCCCAGGCCTCACAGGCTGGGCAGGAGAGCATGACCTGAGGGGCCACTGCCTCTCCTCCTCCAAGCCCCCAGCCAGGAAGCCCGGCCTGCTGCCTACCTCGCAGCAGTCCAGGTGACAGGCGGGGGCTAGGCCTCAGAGGGCCAGAGCACCTGGCCTCGCGCCCACCCAGGTGTGGGCCCCTGTAAAGCACCGTGGGCCGTCCGCTCGGCCCTGCAGCGGCCAGGGCAAGGTGCAGGGGATGGCTCCAGGGTACAGAGGCCAGTGCGTCACTGGAGGCTGAGCCCCAGTAGCAGCTGCCTGGGACCAGACCACTGGCGAGGAGACCAAGAGGCCTGAGTGCCCAGCCTCCCTCTGGGCTAGGCCCGGCCCTGCTGGTGCAGCTGACCCTTCCCTCAATGGCCTGAGACACATGCCCTCTGAAATCCAGACTTCCTTATGAGACAGGGGTGAGGGGAAGCGGCCAAAGGGGTTTCTGGGCCTTCTCACTCCCCAGCCCGCTGCTCCTTCACCTTCCTGGCCTGTGGTGGCAGTGTTGGGTCTCTAGAGGCTCAGGGACATGATAGGGCTGTCCCCCAATAAGCAGCTTCCCTGGGGCTCCAGACGGGCAGGGCTCCCCCGGCCCTGGGGAGCCCTCCGAGTGTTGAGGGTGAACACCTGCCGCCCCATGGCGGGTCGCAGGGCCTCCAAAGCTAGACATACACTCCCCTCCCCACGACACTGGGCCCCACGGCCGCGGGTGTGGGAGTGCCTCTGCATAGCTTGGAGGGACACGACAGGCTGCACGAGCCTCGGGCAGCAGAGAAGCCCCAGGGCAGGAGAGGGCGGCGTGGGCAGCCTCCCCTCACGCCCCACCTCATGTGCGCTGCTCACCTGTCTGCTCTGTG